AGAGCATGTGTTATTGGTTTTAGAGGTCATTAGGATCAGTTCCTACCATTGGAGGAGTTTGCTTACAACAATAGCTACCAGTCCAGGTATTCAGATGGCGCCTGTGAGGAATTATATGGCAAACGGTATCGTTCTCCAGTTGGTTGGTTTGAGCCTAGTGAGGCTAGATTGTTGGGTACAAATTTGGTTCGTGATGCTTTAGAGAAGATGAAGTTGATTCTGGAGAGGCTTGGCACAGCTCAGTCCACGCAAAAGCGTTATGCTGATAGGAAGGTTCGTGATGTGCCTTTCATTGAAGGTGAAAAGGGTCTTCTTAGAGTTTTTCCTATGAATGGCGTAATGAGATTTGCGAAGAAGGGCAAGTTGAGCCCTATGTGTATTGGTCTATTTGAGGTTTTAGAGAGAATTGGTGAGGTGGCGTATATGCTTGCTTTTCCACCCAGCTTGTCGGGAGTTCATCCGATATTTCATGTTTCCATGCTTCAGAATATTATGAAGACAAGTCACATGTGTTAGATTTATTTTCAGTACAATTGGATGAGAATTTTTCTTATGAAGACACGTTGGTGGCCATTTTGGATAGGCAGTTTCAAAAGTTGAGGTCAAAAGAGATTGCATCAGTGAAAGTCAAGTGGAGCGGTCAACTGATCAAAGAAGCGACTTAGGAGAACAGGCATGATATGCGGAGCAGATATCCTTATCATTTGAGCATCTTAGGTATGATTCTAAATCCGTCCGAGGACGAACATTTGTTTAAGAGGGGAAGAATGTAATGACTCAACCAATCATTTTGAGTATTAGAGCCTCGTTCTTCTATTTGATATTTTTCGTATGTTGTTTTTGATGATTTATTACTTGTGGTGATGGTTGGTTTGGTTTTTAGAAGGTTTGCGAATGAATTGGAACACTTAGCTTCATTTTTTGAAGCTTAAGTTATAAGAATTGACCAAGGTTTGACTTTTTAGTAAACGACCTCAGATTAGTAATTTGATGGTTCCAATAGGTTCATATGGTCATTTTGGACTTGGGAAAATTATCAATTTTGGATTTGGAGGTTCTTAGAAGGTTTTGGCTCTATTTGTCGAAAAGTTTACTATTTGAAGAATTGGTGAGAGTTCATCAGTTTGATTGGAAATTGACTTTTGGGATAATAAGCTTTGATTGTGGTTTTGATACCTTGGATATGTCATAATGGTTGAAATGAATTTGTGTGGAGAGTTGGGTTGTAACCCAGAATGTCTAAGTATGATTCAGATGCATTCAGCGAAGGTTGAATATTTGGAAGTCAAGAGATGGATTTGATCTTTGATTTTTTGTTTTGTTGTTGTTTTTATGTTTCGAGCCTTGAGACAAGTATGTAGGAAGTATACGGACTTGTTGGAATGATTGAGCAGGGTCCCTGAGGGCTCGAGTGTGATTCGGAATGATTTCTGTCTATTTCCCTTGTGTTTGCAGCAACTTAGTTGTTGGTGTGCAGCAGTACTTCGCAATCGCGGTGTAAAGGCTCGTGATCACAGAGAAGGAAGTGGCTGGTGAAGTTATGTATTTCATGATTGCACGAGTAGCTATGCGATCGGGAAGAAGGATTTCAGATCGAGCAGTCAGCATGCATCACATTCGTGAAAGTGTGTTCGCGTTCACGGAGTGTTGGGAGCTGGTCATCGCGTTCGCAAAGAGGAGGAGCCTGGATGGGAAGTTTGGCCTTCGCGTTTGGGAAAGGCAGCTTGTGTTTGCGTAAGAAAAAGGTCTACTAGTCATCGCATTTGGGAGGTCTTGTGGCATTCGCGATGAACTATTTCCAGCGGTGGATATTTATGCTTCGCGATCGCGGAGAAGAGGCTCACGATCGTGAAGGTATAACTAGGTAGTATATTAAAGTGCTAGTTTTGGATTTTTTGTCCATTCTTTCATATTTAGAATCCTAGACTTGGAGAGAGGCGATTTTGCAAGGAGATTGCCATCCAAGGCAAGAGGGTAAGTAATTTCTACTTATTTGTGATTATATTCAAAAATACACATGGATGTTTAACCCCTAAATCAAGGATTTGAAGAGTAAAAATTGGGATTTTTTGTATGAACTTAAGAAAGTGATTTTGGGAGTTTTGAACATGAAATCGGAACCCGATTTGGAATATACTTACATATTTGGACTCATGGGTTTAAGAATAGTCAGGATCTACTCCTAAACTCAGGTTTTTACCATGTGGGACAAGCTTCACTTTTGTTAACTTTTTTGTAATTGATTAAAGATTTAAATTTGGGATTGGTTTCTATTGCATTATTTGACTCGTTTGAGTAATATGTGACTAGATTTACCTGGTTTATCTAACTTGTCCACTCTAGAGTGTGAGTCATGTCATCTCGATAAGCATACCCGCTCCCATTTCCTTCGGCATCTTGATAATCGAGTAAAGTCAACTTTTACTTTAGTCCATTCAGATGCTTGGGGTCCTAGTCGGGTCAATTCTACCTTGGGATTCCGCTACTTTGTCAGTTTCATTGATGATTATTCCAGGTGCACTTGGATATTTTTGATGAAAAATTGATCTGAGTTGTTTTCTATTTTCCAGACCTTCCACGTTGAAATTCTAAATCAATTTGGGCTTTCTATCCGCATATTTCAGAGTGATAATGCCCTAGAGTATTTGTCTTCCCCATTTCAGCAGTTTATGAACTCTCATGAGATTATTTATCAAACATCTTGTCCGTACACATCCCAACAAAATGGGGTAGCTAAAAGAAAGAATAGACATCTTATTGAAACTACTCGTACCCTACTCATACAATCTCATGTTCCGTTGCGTTTTTTGGGGGATGTAGTTCTTACATCTTGCTATCTTATTAATCGTATTCCATCTTCAGCTTCCAGAATCAAGTTTCATTCTCTGTCTTGTTTCCCCACTTACCTTTATTTTCTCTTCCACCCCGTGTCTTTGGGAGCACGTGTTTTGTTCATAACCTTACTCCAAGAAAAGATAAGTTAGCTCCCCGTGCTCTTAAGTGCGTATTTTTGGGTTACTTGAGAACGCAGAAGGGATATCGATGATATTCTTCTGACCTCAGGCGGTAACTTATATATGCTGATGTTACCTTCTTTGAAACCCAATCATACTTCATAGGTCCAGGTAATCACTTAGATATTTCTGAGGTGCTACCAGTTCTATCTTTTGGAGATTCAGGCAGTATCTCCCATTCATCACCACCTACAGCTCCAGCTCCACCACCTATAGCTCCAGTTCCACCGCCTAGTCCAATTCAACATTCTACAGCTCCACCATTTGTCTCATCTTTGTCCTCTGTTTTCATCCCTAAGTCTACAGGTGAAGCACTGTCTCATCCAGGGTGGCTACAGGCTATGATTGACAAGATGTCTCCTTTACATATGAGTAGTACTTGGGATCTTGTTCCTCTTCCTTCGGGTAAATCGACTGTTGGTTGTCGTTGAGTGTATGCAGTCAAAGTTGGTCTAGATGGCCAGGTTGATCGACTTAAGGCTCGACTTGTTGCCAAAGGGTATACTCAGATATCTGGGCTCGATTACAATGTACTTTCTCTCCCGTTGCTAAAATAACATCAGTCCGCCTTTTTTTATCCATGGCTGCTGTTCGCCATTGGCCTCTCTATCAGTTGGACATTAAGAATGCTTTTCTTCGCGGTGAACTTGAGGATGAGGTTTATATGGAGCAACCACCTGGTTTTGTTGCTCAGGGGGAGTCTAGTGGCCTTGTATGTCGGTCCCTCTATGGTCTAAAGCAGTCTCCTCGAGCCTGGTTTGGTAAGTTCAATACAGTTATTCAGGAGTTTGGCATGACTCGTAGTGAAGTTGATCACTCTGTGTTTTATCGGCATTCTACTTCAAATCTCAGTATTTATTTGGTGGTTTATGTTGATGATATTATTATTACCGACAATGATCAGGATGGTATTACTAAATTGAAGCAACATCTCTTTCAGCACTTTCAGACTAAGGATCTGGGCAGATTAAAATATTGTCTAGGTATTGAGGTCGCTCAGTCTAGCTCAGGTATTGTTATATCACAAAGGAAGTATGCCTTAGACATTCTTGAGGAGACGGGAATGATAGGTCGTAAACCTGTTGACACTCCTATGGATTTGAATTCTAAACTTCTACCAAGACAGGGGGAGCCGCTTAGCGATCCTGCAAGATATAGGCGGCTGGTTGGTAAATTAAATTATCTCACAATGACTAGACTTGACATTTCCTTTTCAGTGAGTGTGGTAAGTCAGTTCCTGGATTCTCCCTGTGATAGTCATTGGGATGCATTTGTCCGCATTCTTCGATATATAAAATCAGCTCCAGGCAAAGGATTATTATTTGAAGATCGAGGCCATGAGCAAATTGTTGGGTACTCAGATGTTGGCCGGGCAGGATCACCTTCTGATAAACGTTCTATGACTAGATATTGTGTTTTAGTAGGAGGTAATTTAGTGTCTTGGAAGAGCAAAAAATAAAATGTGGTTACTCGATCTAGTGCAGAAGCAGAATATCGAGCAATGGCTGTGGCAACATGCGAGCTAGTTTGGATCAAACATTTGCTTATTGAGTTGGAATTTGGTGAGGTCAGCAAGATGGAACTTTTGTGTGATAATCAAGCTACCATTCGTATTGCATCAAATTCGGTGTTCCATGAGAGAACTAAACACATTGAGATTGACTGTCACTTCGTCAGAGAAAAGATACTCTCAGGAGATATTGCTACAAAGTTTGTGAAGTCGAATGATCAACTTGCAAATATTTTCACCAAGTTCCTTACTGGTTCTCGTATTAGTTACATATGTAAAAAGCTCGGTACATATGATTTGTATGCACCGACTTGAGGGGGAGTGTTAGATAGTTATGTACATAATATGAATTATTTCTAGTCCCACATAGAATAGGAGTATGATATGTATTGTATAAATAGGGCTCATTGTATTATAATTAAACAAAATATCAATAATAGATTTTCTCTAATGCATTCTCACAAAAGAAAAAGGGATCATACCTCGTACTTAGTAACTTCTTCCCATGCTTCCTTTGATGCAAACATTTTAGCAAAATCGACATCATTCACTTGCTTACGGTTGGAAGAATTGACCTTTCGCTCGGGAATATGTTGAGACTTCTTCTTTGGTGTTGAACCAGATCCAATATTATAATTCTTAGATGTGCTATTACTTCGGATGCGAGATATTGGATCTGCCTGCTGAAATTGTTGATGGATATCTATAGGATACAACTGACCCTGCTCATTCACCTCAGTGGTCATTGCTTTTACTTCAATGATGCCGGGTGGAGCTGAATAATGCGGTTCCATGACATTTAGTTCCAGCTTGCACGTAGTGTTCTCATTTCCTCCACTAGTTCCACTTCCAGAGATCACTGGAAAAGTTTCATCCTCTGCCGAGTCATAAAGTGGAATTTCCTCCACTGAATATCTGTATTAAGATTAGCCAGATTGAAACAAATATTCAATAATTAAAAAGAATGTTGTAAAAGATGCAGCATCCAAACTACAATATCTTCGGAAATATTCTCTCATGAAACCTGTAAAACACTACGTGAAATTTTTCTCCTAATACAATTGACAAGTAAGTGAACTGCCTTAATTATATCATTCAGTTTGAAAGTAAAGCTCAAATACTCCAATACTGAATCAAAATGAAACATGCTTCATCTGAATATTAACTATCCTTTGTATATTACCAATCAGTCCCCTTTATTTTTGGTTGAGAGTGATAAGATTTTATAATCAGAAACACAAAGTCTGTGCCAAATTATACGCAAAGCAACTCCTTTACATCATAGTAGGAAGCTCAGGGAATCTAACGATCAGTCCCTTATTACTTAAACATGCAAAGTTCCGGAAAATAGTGTATTCTCTCCGTACCATCTTTTCTTTCATATTTATATATCTCTCCAAGGTTTGAATGGTGTCACTGATGTTTCTCTTTTAAATAGAAAATCAAGATGTAGAAGTAATGGAAAGAGGCCAATTCCTGAAGAATTGCTGGAGATAAATACAAAACTTTGAAGATCTAGGACAATATGCTGAATACAAGACTACTTTTAAGTCTTCTAAGAAAAAAGGGAGAAAGGTCAGATTTATCCCTCTACTTTAGTAAATTATTCACGTTTATCCCTAGTTCTACTTTCGATCCAAATACATCCCTACCGTTAAGAAAGTAAATAAAAATACCCCTAATCCTAACGGTTGTCCAATGTGACAAAGGACCCCTTCAATAAAAATTATCACGTAATTAAATAACCCACCCCTTACCTTTCTTTCTTAAATTTTATTTTCATTCAAAACTTTTATTATTTTTCTTTTTCTCTTTTTTCTCTCTCCTTTTCCCTACCATAAGAATCTCTCTTCTCCCTTGCCCTCCACCATTACAGTGGGTAATAAAATTTCGCCGGAAAAAATGGTCCATCTTTCCTTTAGCAGTTGTCGGCGTCGCGAGAGCAACTGGTCAGCTAACCTCCAGAAAACAATCCATCTCTCTCCCTCCTACTATGTCCGCCTGCAACCTACCATAAATAACCAACCACCACTAAAAACCAGATCCATCTGAACACCACTAGAAGCCACCAGATCCCAAAACTCTTTGACCACGATTCACCTTCATGGATATGGTTGATTTGAACAATACTACATAGTTTATTAACCAAGCCACCATTATAGTGAGTAATAAAATTTCGCCAGAAAAAAAAGGTATCTCTCTCCTTTAGCATTAGCCGGCGCCGACGAGATCAACTGGTCGACTAACCACGGTAAAAACAAGCACAAATCTCTTCCTTGTTAACTCTCTGTTGGAGGAAACTATATGGGGCACTTCTTTACTATGCTACTGCAATCTCGTTTACTGTTTTTTCTGCACCGACCGTCCTCCGCCATTGCAAAACCTCTTGTAATTTCATTATTTTTGGACTTACAGACAAAACCCTTCTCTAGAATTCTCTCAATCACAACGGGCGCATAATTTTTGTTGATAAAATTATTCTCGTTTGATCTTTAAATTAGAAGAGAAACACCTGAAAATAGAAAGGTAGTGTTGGTAATACCCAGGTGTTGGTACATGAAATATTTGGAGAAGTAGTGAAAATGTGCAGTAAAGAGCTCTTATGTGGAGAGATTTGGTAGAGACGAAGGAATTTATTGGGACATTTCGTGGTGGAAAAGATGGAGGCTAATGTAACTGGTATAACTGGTGGAGGGAAAGGGATCAGATGGTAGGGAAAAGAAAAGAGAAAAAGAAGTAAAATAAAAAGAATAGAGATTTAGAGTTAATTATGTGGATTATTTAATTATGTGGCATTTTTTATTGACTAGGTCCCTTGCCACTGTGAACATCCATTAGGGTTGGGGATATATTTATCTATTTTCTTAACGGTAGGGACGTATTTGGACCGATAGTAGAACTAGGGAAAACATATATGTCGAGTCTCCCAGTTGTAAATCCAAAGGTCCACTTCCTTTTTCATAATTCACAAAAAACAATATTGATTCTTTTATTGAGTTAACAATAACAACACCAGAAACAACACAAACATCAACAACAACAATTCCGCCTCATCCCCAAACAAATTGAAAATTTTGGACCATTTCTCGATTTGTGCATGCCATCCTTTCGCATGTCACGCTAATCTTCTCTGTATCGTTCCAATTTTATCAGATGTCCCCAAAAGGACAGGAAGAACAACACAATTACCAAATTTTAAAAAATTAAAAGAAACTGTTAGATAGTTATGTAAATAATATGAATTAGTCCTAATATGAGCACCTTTACCACATTTTTTTATTGAGAAAGGTACCATAATACTCCCTCTGTCCTAGTTCATGTGTCACTCTTTTTTTTTTAGTCAGTGCTAAAAAGAATGACATATTTCTATATTTAGTAACAATTTAACTTTAAACTTCTTATTTTACCCTATGAAATGATATATAGCCACACATTTCTCTATTGCTAGTTTTAGATTTTTTTCTTTTTTAAACTCCGTGCCCACCATTCAAGGTTAAAACACAGTGCTCTCCTGAAAGATAGTGACAAACGATTTACAATGCTAATTCAAAACAGTTCCATAGTGAGGGTTATCAATAATCCCCTGAGTCAACCAAAGCCCTAAATTAGAGAAGGAAGAAGACATCAACTACATAGACTTCTCGTGTTGTGTTCTAAAATCAAACATAAAAAGCAATGAGCATTTATCTTTTTATTTTTTCCCGATCGATGCAATAAGCATTTATCCTGGATTACTTCCTCTTTTCAGCCTCAAAAGCAACACGCTCTTTATCCTCTAAGAAAATTTAAGGTCCTTATATTCTGGTGCATTTTTGGCCCTTTGGGTGAAGGAAGGAGATATACATAAACAACGAAAAGGAAAACGACTGCTCGACTGCGAGAGCTTCACATTTGAGAAGCACAGGAGCTAAACAGAAGAAGAAGATGCCACCTTCACTGAAGCAGACAAAGAAAAGGAATCATTCTTTTAAAATGTCATAACTCTGCAAGAATTTTAATAGACTTCATTAAAGAACATGCTATCACCAGAAAAAGAGACTGAGTTTTGTAATGATACACCATACAACAACATGTGATTCGCGGATTGTAGTATGTGACTAGAAAATTCAATCTATATGCATAAATCATAAATCTGTTTGTTGTTTGAATTCAGGCAAGAAGGAATAAGTGAAATGATGCTATAAAGGGCATTCTAGATGTAACAATTCACAAGAAACCATATGTTACCTGGAATCCTTGAGACTTGGCACCCAGAAATATAGAACAGTTTGCAGCTCCACATAGACAACGAACAGTTGCACCCCCGTACCACTCAAAATTATAGTTATATGCCAACTCCGTTCCAACAGATATATCTTGTTTTGCAAATATTCCTACCCTTGTTTCCCCTAACACTGTCCATTTCCTAGTTTCACAATTTGGATGGCTAGGAAATTCAGGAACACAATATCAGTGTTGTCATTCCACGCCATTTCATTAACCATAATAATATGCCACTGACTGACAAGGATCTCTATCTTATTTCACTTTCTAACAATTTGACAACTGACATTTCAGCACTTACCATGAATGATTTATGAATCTTGCAAAACTTCCCTTCCGGGTGGCATCAATGAAATAGTTAGCATTCAGATAAATTATGTACGCATCCTTAAGCCCTGCACAAATCATGCGAAATTGTAGTAGTAATCTGCAGATGTATTGACAACCATCCCCAATGCTGATAACTTACCATGAGCTTCATAAGCCTGAAACCTTTTCTTTGCTTGTCCAGATGATATCATTTCTTCTGAGTATTCAATGATAAACTGTCCAGCCTAATCATGTAAAGAGAGAGGAACAATTGGTTGATTGCAGTTACTGAGCAAAATCCTCTGATATATTGCAGAGAACGCAAATTTGATAAGCTCAGCTATGGACATTCTCTCTTCACGTGATCGTCAAGAAAAAGAAAATTCTTTTATAGGAAAAGGTAAAAGAAAGAAAAATCTTTTTATATATGCCGAAAGTATGCTATAAAATTTAATTGGTCACCCGAAAAGAAAATAGGCCGGTTGCTTCAGCAGAATTACCTTTATATTCTCATCAGCTAAAAGACCCCAACCACGCCCTTCAGTCCTAGGGGTGGCTAGTGGGCCGGTTAGGACCGGGACCGGCCCAGGACCGCGAGCCCATATGGACGGTGGTCCTAAATGGTCCTAACCGGATAGGACCGGGACCGTGGGGTGGTGGGCCGGGTAGTGGGCCGGTCTCATAGGGGAGACCCGCGAGACCGGGACCGTTTAGGACCGGGACCGGCTCAGAAGTGGGCCGGTTCAAACGGTCCTAAATGGGCCCAGCGGATAATTTTTTAAAAAAAATTTTTTGACCGTTTGGCCATTTAAAAACTAGCCGTTTGGTCTGCCAAAATAGTCGTTGGCTATTTGCAAAATAGCCATTTAACCCCCAAAATTTTATTTTAACCCCAAACTTTTTATAATTATATTTTTTTCCTATTTTCAACTATAAATACCCCCTCATTCTTTCATTTTTCTCACAAAATCATCAATCTCTCTCAATCTCTCTCTAATATTCTTCTATAATTGCTTACTTAATTGTTACAATTTGTGCAAAATTGTGAAATTGGTGAATTGAAGTCTTCAAGTCTTCAACGATAATTATTTTTTAACAAGTTGTTCGTCAATTCGGTAAACTCGTTCCAACTCTTAAGTTTTAATATTATAGTTTTGTTTGTTTTATTTACTTTGCTTGATTAATTAAGATGGCTTATTCCCTAAAAAAAATATTACTAAAAATAAGGAAAAATCTAAGAGTGGTGAATCTAGTGGCGAATCTGTTCCTCCTCCACTTCCCCCGGCTCCCCGGCCGAAACCTGTTACCCTTCCTACACCTGCTATTCTTGATAGCGATAATAGTTTATTATAATTTACCGAGAGTCAATTTTGCCATAATATTGCACCCGGTGAACAATTAAACCATGAATATATGAATGCTCTTTATGGTAATCCAACTATTGATGAAAATGATGATGAAGAAATAGATTTTGATGAAACGCAACCGGATGACGATACACCCACTAGTCCTGCTCCTGAAGTTAACCCAACTAATAATAATCCAAATGATCCCCCGTCTGACCCTCCTGTTACTGCCCCTACTTTTTCTAGACAACCTTCTAAACGGGCAGAAACATCTCTTGTTTGGCCATTTTTTACTCAACTAAGAGAAAAAAATAGGGCTAAGTCTAAAACTTGTGGCAAAGAGTTAGTTTTTAAATATGTTGGAAGTCGGGGGAGGGGGACGGAAAGTTTGACTATACACATATTGCTACACCCTCAAGATAAAACTAGATATTTTCGTATGAAAGCTTTGGCCGAGGGAACAAGTGCACCTAGTATGGCTGACCTTAGTACCGGGTCAAATCAATTTCAATCAAAAATTAACACTGTTACCGGTGGTATTTTATATTATGATCCAAAAATAGATCGTGAAGAATTGGCAAAAATGGTTACTGTTATGTGTTTACCCTATAGTTTTCCTTCTAACCCTCACTTTGTGTATTATATTAAAAAAGTTTATAATCCTACTTATAAAGGTTTTCCTCACACAACCGTAAAGAGTAATATTTATAAATATAAACATGAATATGAACAATATTTGCGCTATTTATTTACCCATATAAATTATCGTGTTGCTATTACAACTGATATTGGTAGAAGTGGTAATGACTGTGATTAC